ATGACATGTGTTGTGAATTTGGCGCTATATAAATAAACTGAATTGAATTGAATTCTGCTTAAACCAGCAGGTTAGGATAGCAGGTTGACCTCCCCAAGATGGCTCCCATAGTTTCTGTGCCGCGTTAGTCAATGGGGGGTCTACTCTCATATTTATGTCTATGCTGAATCGCAAAATGGCCCCTAAAACCTAACCCTCCGTTTGCACGTTCCCTATGTATCAAAGTGTCATGAAGTGTCTAACAGCAACTGGAGGCTAATGTGGGTTCCAGCATTATTTTTAATTGATTTAATTGAGAGAAGGAGGAGGAAAAACATTTATCTGCAATCCCACAGCATGATTCTTCCAGTAAATATCTCTGTTGATGAGTCTTTCCTGCTATTTTCATGCTGCAGCAGCAGCAGTGTCTAGAGGTGCTGACCAAATATAGCTGCCCCATAACCTCCAGGGGGCGCCATTTAATCAGAAGAAAATAACCCTACAGTAGAGTAATATAAAGTATTTCTAATGATGACCCTTTAATGTCCCTACCGCAAAGCGTTGTTTGATGATGTCATCCATATCTTGAATTGATTCTAACTTTCAACAAACATTGGGGGTTTGGGGGTGGGGGTGTCAGGGGGGTAGATAATCCATTATGATGATAATCTGCTTCTCTACTTTACAAATAATCCTGGTTTTCTGTCAGCGCGTTTTGTTATTTTTTCAGAGTTCTCAGGCAGGAACCTGTTCCTTCCTGAGCGGTTCTGCTGCCTGAGGCCGGGGGTGGGGGTGGCGGTGGGGGTGGTTTCCTGGTGATGAGGCAGCCAGTAAACTAGCTCTCTTCCTGATCTCTGTAAAACTGAAAGTCCCTGCAGAAACAGGCACACATGCTGAGAAAACAGCTAAAGAGAAGCACATCCAGCTCTTTACAGGACGCCTCCAGAACCTGGACTCTTCATCCCAGCGCAGAGTTTGGACCTAGAAGCAAAGCATCCCAGCACAATGAGCCAGTGGAAACAGATCCAGCAGCTGGAGATGAGGCTCCTGGAACAGGTGGACTACCTGTATGATGATAACTTCCCCATGGACATCAGGCAGGGCCTGGCCGGCTGGATCGAGGCCCAGGACTGGTAAGCCCAGCTTAGTGTGTGATGGTCGTGGAAGGCTGATTGTTTTCTGTTTGTTTACAGTCGTTATATGTAAGATAACTTTGTTTTAGCCAGTTTACATGTACATAAAGTTTATTTACAGCCGTTCTTTTTAAAATGTAAGAAAATCTCTGAAAAGTCTCACTTCATCTCCAGTTCATCTTTCCTCTCCAACCTTCCTACTGTGATCTGAAGATGTTTTGCTGTTTTTTACATTAATCAAAAATGGAAACACGTGTAAGAGGAGGGCTACAGGCTGAAGCCTGCCTCCAAAGACCTGAAGCTGCGTGTCTCAGGCAGCGTGCTGACATGTGACTCCTGGGGGATCCTGGCTGGTCTGAGGTCATAGGTCATCATCTTACCAATCAGATCCTTTGACCCTGTCCAGACATTAGCAGATTCTGACCGTAAATGTGTGATGATTAGAGTTCGCCATGATTAATGGGCTCCACATGCAGAGAAATAGAGATGCTGTCAGCAGCATGGGGTGGGGTGGGGGGGGTTCTGATGTCACTGAACAACAATGATTTTCCTCATTTTGATATGAAGACTCATCAGAATTAAACTGTAACTCTGAATGAACAGACATGATGTCAGCAGATAGACTGAACATAAACAGTTCAGGATGTCAAAGCCTTCAGGATCAGCTTTGAGCTTCACATGATCCATCATCTCTGTCAACATAAACAATGGGAATTAGGATTAGGGTTGGAATTAGGAAGAATGAAATGCTAAACATGAACACATGGTAAGAGGAAAATTACAGTTCAGTGCCATGATAGAGACATGTACAGAAAAGTTGGACTCCAAACTTAAACTACTGATGTTTAATTTAACAGCTGAGATAGAAAAGTCAAAGGAAACCAGTAACATGCAATGAAGCCATTCAGTGATTTGTAGACTAACAGAAGGATTTCAAAGTCTGGTACAGGGAGCCAGTAGCTCCAGAACCGGTCTGATGTGATCTGCTTCCTTAGTTCTAGTGAGGATGCAGGCAGCAGCATCTGGATCAGCTGCTGCTGTCCGATCAACTTTCTTTTTCATTTTTTATTTTTTACAGTGTCCTGTTAAAAAACAATGTGGCAATAAGAATAATTGTCTTGATGCCAAAAAGAGCCCAACAGATTTTGCTTTCACCAGTGGAGCAGTACGGCTA